AAACACAGCTGTGCTTCTTTGAGGTGTTTACCAAGTGACCCAAAGAGTGACCTCAGCATAGGAGGGTGAATCAAAGGCTTAACCATTCAGACTGCATGCAGCACTGTGATGCTAAATGGTTGAAGAATTTTTTTGTAAGAATATGAATAGAATATCGACTGGTGCAGTATTTTAACCATGCACAGGATGCCTTGAGCAGGCGCGACCTATTTCGGTTAAAATGTTTGGTCTTTACACTAAGTTGAAATTCTCCCACCCGCCTGTCTCTTCTTTGCTGGTGAGGGGGTCATCAGGTCAACGCCGATTGTATCTGTACTCATGCTGCTCAATGATTGGCTTCTACATGCATCTTGTATTACCACAGCTCCCCTGCCTTCTGTGCCGTGCTCGTCCGGAAATTTGACCGGTCCGACGCCAGGACGATGAAGCTGGATGATTTCATTCAGTGTTGTGTCATGATTAACCCTAACTCCCTAGGGTGTGTGCAAAATCATATTAAAATTGGAGGATTCAGGGCTGTTAGGGTTAAGTCTCTGACTGAGGCCTTCAGAAAGAAGGACACTGCCTTAAGGGGAACGGTTAAAATTCACTACGAGGAGGTAAGTCTGGTGCCAATGCACATTAGTGGTGTTTGTATGCATTGATACAAGGTATGACACCAGCGCTCAGACTCAAGACTGTCTCTTGGTGTATTTGCTGAAGTTTATTATATTAGCTTAACACTGATTCCAACTTCTTTTCAAAGAGAACAAGTGTATATTATGAAAGTTACCATCTACACATCCCATAAAACACATACAAGAGCCCCCAATCTGAAATCAAGTCATAAGCCATTCAAATGAACTAACGACAAAAGCAGATTTCTGTCATTGTGCACTCTGCTACTTGTGTTTCCTCTTTTGACTGGCCTGTGACTGGTCGGGTAGCTGATCTTGTGACTTGTCATGTGAGTGGTCTTGTGACTAGTCTTGTGGCCAGTCTTGTGACCAGTCCTGTGACTAGTCTCGTTACTGGTCTTGCTACTGATCTTGTGACTGGTCTTGTGACTGGTCTTGTAACTGATCACGTGACTGGTCTTGTAACTGATCACGTGACTGGTCTTGTGCCTGGTTATATGACGATTTCTACTACAACACAGAAGTATGCCTCTTGCCCATAGCATTCATTTTTGTGACTCTTAACAAACAAACCCCTACCTGTATTTTGAATTCAAAGGCATACCTCATCATATATTCTTATTCTTTCTCCTTATAGTTCCTTGAAATGGTTCTGGAAAATGGTATTCACTAGGGGCGCCATTTTTCACCAAAAAAAGGTAAGACAAATTTTATCAAAGTTTCAGAGACAAAGACTTTCAACTGAGACAAAGTTTCTCGACTGGCCTCTTGCAGTCGCTTTAACATCAGTTTTATAAACATACCAGTCTCATGTAATACCAATTTTTTTCCAAAACGGAAAGGCCAGACATGTAAGCTTTTCCCACCGACGGTCAGTGCGCAGGCCAACATGTGTGACCTTGAACTGCCAATGGCTAGGACACCATTAAGTGGTGTTCTGGTTAATTTAAACTATACACACGTACTCTTATCGGATGTGTTCACATTCGTGCTAAGTTTCACAAATATTGGTCATTGAATCCCCCTCCCCCGCCAGAAGGTTTGAAAAATCACCTGGCTCTTTTCAAGTTGCCGGTATCAGAGTCAAAGGTTCTGTTCTGTGAAAACGGGATAGTTTACAATAACTCGCGTTGCACAGTTGATTTTCTGGATAATGAACGGTAGTACACAGTAGGTTTAAAATCCACTGAGACTCACGAGTTGTCGTTGTTTGTTTGTCTTTTGTTACAGAGCAGTGAATGGGGGACACTGCGACCATGTGAATAAATTCCATCAGTGCTTTATATACTTGTATGGCAGCTTGCTGTTCTGAATTTTTTTATATATCCTTCAACTTTCTTGTAAATGGCGATCATTCCTACTTGAAAAGTACTTGAAAAGTCTTACTAAATTGTAAAAAAGTAATGAAAGTAATATTTTCGGTATTGGTTGCATCATTAAAGACGGTTTGTCAGCTTTCCGTTATCTTCCTGTTTGGAACAACTCAGTGCTGTTAACAGTAAAACGAAACCTCTGAGACGTTTGTCTGATATGCGCCTTAAGCAGAAGCACCCCCTCATTGGTCGAAAAGAGCCATGTTGGTAGGTAGTGTTTTATTTTGTTGGTAGCGACATGACCGAAAGGGATGCATTGTGTAGTAAGAGAAGTGTGGTTCCCACCTTAGGATCTTTCGTTGCGCCCTCTCTTGATCCAATTCAGGGCTCAAAGTGATAAAGAGAGTTGCTTAATATGCTAAATCACAACTATGGAATGAACGACAGAATCCCACTTACTTCACGCCACTGCGAGGCATCCTTAGTGATCAGTACTACAGCCCTGCACGTGGGACGGGGCCACGAATTTCATCGCTACCAAGCCTTAATGGTGTTTGAAGAACAATCTCATTGGGTAGTAAGTTCCAGTCATGAGTCCTCTGAGAAAATGTTTGTAAGACATCGCAAAGGAGTAAAACTCCGATTATATTTGGTTCTCTGAATTCTTTATCCTTGATGAATTGAGTTGGGAAATATGGCAGTTTCTTACTGCATGAGTAAGTAAGTGGATGTAAGTGGATGTAAGTGGATGTAAGTGGAACCACTGACTTTTTCAGTGCTGATATTGAATTTGAAAGCGAAGTTGATAGTGACAATTTTGTGGCATATCCAGAACACTTGATGGATGTGGAATATTAACCATGCAGACCTTGAAGCTTCCAGGTTTCTCATCGCTATTGCTGATTTACAGAGAAGTACTGGACTGGTTTTTGGACAGAAAGGATTTGGTGGTGTCTCCTTTCAGAAGGCTCACAGCTAGAGAGATTCCGCCTCTCAACACCAGTTGCTCTGTTCGCAGTGCTGACTGGTGTGCCAATTGAGAGAATCTCTCAAAATCCCAGGTGCAGAGGTGGATGGATCCTTACCCTGCCGCCTCTGTGACCCTGACATGCAGGTTGGATTTCTTGTCCCAGCCTGATTCTGTGGCCTTTTCTCTGCAATATCCTGGTAGGGTTTTCCCTCTATTTCATCTGAGTCTTCTCCCTGTATCTTTTGTTAGGCCTCTTTTGTGACCCATGATTTCATTTATAAAGAAAATCATAATATTCCTAGCAGATTGATTGATTTTCCATTATTGTTATACCCCTACCTTGAATATTGCATTTTCATTGGCCCAGAAAGATCACTCGACTGGTCCACAGAAATGCATATTACCCTCATCATTTTGCATATCACATCGTGATATCATAGACTAGTCCCTGCCTCAGGGTCAAATCTATTATTGCAGGGACTACCAACCATGCCACTGATATTCACTGGTACCTATGCTACTTTGACCTGTACAGTTGATGATAGCTAACTGTAGTGGTACCAGTGAACTGGGGAACAATCAGCTGTTGAAGCACTTTGTCAACACCCTCACCTCAGAAGCTGTGAGTTCTAGGGGCTTAAAACATCATAACCCTCATCAGACCAGTCAGTAATGTTTAATTTATGTGTTTCAGTCCTGTGGACAGGAGGCTGTCGTCAGCAAGTAATTTGAAATTAATAAGGTTCTTACCTCGCTGACGATATCACCCCAACACTTGCTTTAAGAAAGAAGCATAGTAGACCCGAGATGTGCCTGCTGCAGGACTTGATGCTTTCCCATAAATGACTTATAGTACTCGCTCAATGCAAAAAAACAAAATACAAAACAGTAGCCACTTTCTCTAAGAACAGTATGCAGGAAAATCCTTTGTATTTTTTTTCTTCTTTCATTCCATCTGAGGTAATGTTGTGTCCTTAAGTGGGTTTCCTCTGTTGCCAGTGGGAAAAACATAGTCTTGAAGAGTTTATTAACTTGGAAACTCTGTTTTAACAAAGAGGTACATGATTGAAAACTTGGAGTGGGTTTTCACTTCTTTGCATTAAGATGGCACACTATTAGGGTTTTACCTGGTGAATTGAATTTAAAATAAAACTGGTTATCTGATCATGTTTACTTCATCCCAACCGAGTTTTCTTTACAAAACATACACTCTAATGCATTCAGAACTTACTCTTTACAACTGAATGCAAGTAACATATGGAAAACTGATGAACCAGTCTTAAAAATGCAACCAGACAAGTGAGAGTGTTTGTTATGTAACTCATTAATTTCATATTTGGATTGCCTTTTTTCATGCTCTATGATTTACATGTATATAATTTTTGGACATTTATTATGGTATATTTAGCAATCAGAAAGTGGTGGGCAGACTTTTAGTAGATGATATCGCTGGTATTCGAAATATTTCTGTAGAATATGTATAATGATTGAATCCATTTGTGTGGACTGGATATATTAGGGTGGTCGTAGCAGTGACCCTGGATGATCTCTTTGACTGAAATAAACTGAGCTTGGGGTTGGTTCGTGTACATCTAAAAAAGGTTCCCTTTGGGCATTTCCCGTGAATTGTTTGTGTGGTTCTAGTAACTACAAAACTTCCACCTTGCCTCATGAC